AAACCCTAAACCCTAAACCCTAAAACCCTAAACCCTAAACCCTAAATCATTTGACTGTGATGGACGATCGGTTAAATACCAAACCCCAGGATATCCCTCAGCGGGTCAGTGGGACGTGGACTCACCGCAAGTCCGACTTGCGTATGATCTGGTCGACTGGCACCTTTGTCACACCACTGAGATTCAAACCCATAATATTGGGAATTTGCGCGGAACCTATGCCAGTATGTCCACACCATCTCATGGAATGGCTCAGTGATTAATTTGAGCCCCCGCTACAGCTGAGCATTTAATCGAGCTACAAACAATTGAATTGTTCAGCGACTTTGCCACTAGCGAGGATGCGCCAGAGGAATGTGAAGCTATTGACTGTGACTTTATGGTCGACTTCTTTAGCAAGCCTGTTCTTGATGACCCGCCCCCGATGGATGGTTTAGCCGATTCGCAACAGAAAATCCCTATACAGCGCATGATGGAATCCCTGGGAAGCTCATGGAATGCTGAAAACTTCGTCATTTTGCAGTCGTCCATTAATCTCAACAAAGCACAGGTTGGTTGCTCCATGGATTTGTCTAACACTAAACTGGGTTTCATGCTGATGGAGTGTAGATATGGAGAAACGGAGGTGCCCGATCATTGAAGAAATTCAAAAACGAGATAGTGCAAAACCCTACCGAGGCCTTGGAGATTGTCAGAGACGTGAGTTCCGCCTCCTGAGACTTGAGAAACTATGATCTAATATCACAAATGATATAACCAGACGGTCGCGGTTTACAACTACCTGAGAAACGGTGCAGTTTGGCAAAAGTTCAAAGCCATTAATGAAAAGGTCCGTGAAGAGATGAAGCGTGCGCAGGATCAGTACAAGTTGAACACTGTCAAAGACAACCGCCTTCAAGAATGTTGGGATGCCTTTATGGAACAGCACATGGAAAACTTTGTGGCCAACGGCCAGAGCTGGATTAAAAGCGCCATCAAACTCGTGGGGGACCACTGGGTGCCTTCTAACTTTGACAATCCAGATGATCCGTTCATCACACAAGTTTGCCAGTCGATCCAAGAGGTTCTCTCTCTTTTAGAGTCGGCTGCAGCTAGATATGTTCAAAGCTTTGACCTTGGGCTTGCTGACGACTCTATGAATACGTCTTGAAAAAGAAAATAAGAGCCTCAGGAGCAAAGGAGAGGATGCGCACATTGCCAGGGAGGGCATCCGAAATATAATGAAAAGGAAATATCAGTTGCCAAGACCAAATACACTCTTGAAAATCAAAGCAGGAGCATATGACAGTATGCAGTAGTAAAATGAACTTATAGATAGTGTAGTGGGCGAACCGCTGATGGGTCGGTAGTTACTACCTAATTTAAACGGATGACTACAGGACCCTACGTCCATGCGAGAGAAAGCTAGGGAAACTTCATTTTCTGACTTTGTCGCTTAGCGAACCACAGCATCTATTATTCCTTATCCGTTAAGGTGCGTTCGGAGGTGAGTGGGTCACTTCGGTTAAAAAAAAGCATAAATACCTCGGGGTCTCCCGTCGCGTTCAAACTTACTGGTCAACCTATTGTCTCCATACACACCGGGATTGCCATTACCGTTATACTCCCAATCGGAATGGCTCAACAAGAAGTATCTAGCTCTAGCGCTCTCCAAGGAGGCAATCTCCATCACCCATCATGGCCTGAACGCTGGTCGCATCCGGAATTTACCGGTCCCCTTCGAGACCTTCGGAAGCGCTGGTGCAAGCAGCCCTGGTATAAACACAACACCCGTCCTTCTGTCATGTTTATCAAACGGCTCAGTTGTTTACCCTGGGGCTTTGTGATCTACCGCACTGTTTACACGGCGGAATCCGACCGGCTCTGGTCTACCTGCCTCGCCAAAATCGACCGTTACGTGCACTGGAGTATTGGAGATATCGACGAAGATGAATATCCGGACAGCGATCCTTTTCCCGAGAAGTTTGTGCGGGAAACCTACAAGAATGTTATTTTCGAGGATCGAGAGCGATGGGAGGGGGCATCGCTGGAACAGATCCGTGCGGATTTCAAACAATATTCAGAGTTTCTTGGGATGGAAGATGGGTCGCATATTCCATGGTCGAAAGCCTGTCTCGTTATAGACGAACAATGCTTGAACTCGATAGTGAGTGCCTTCGAGGATCCGGAGGAGAGTGCAAATTGGAGAGGGCCTCAGAGAGGGTTTGTAATCGAGAAGGGCGGGTACATTATGTTGAAGCCGTTTGTGGTGATGGTCGATCCTACTTTTAGACCGGGGGAGAGCTATGACACGCCTGGGTACCAGGGGTACATGCGCGTTGAAATTGACGATATTTGGGAGGCAGCGGTTGAGTTGCGTCTCTCTACGGTGCAGGAGATGTGTCCCAATGTGACCCCTGCCGAGATGATCCCTGTTTATGATGGAGGAAGCGGATATTTGGTTAATGTGTGAAGGTGGTCCTGACATCTGACACCTCATAAGCTGCGATTGCTTGTTATTTATGTAGATCATCTCTGTATCTCTTCGTGGATTCCTACACGACTGCTCTGTTCATACTCGGCATTTGAGTTTCAATATGCCGCGAATTGGCGGGCAACTGGTCGCAATCATATTGTATTGAGAGCACTGCTGTGCCCTCATATTATCGGACCGGTATAGGAGACATCACGTAGATAGAGGTGAGATTAGCGGAATATGATGCATTGCCCGTATGCTCAGTCCTGATGTACTAGGTACTGTCCATGCGATCGACCGTTCGGTCAGGCCGTCTTCTAGATAAGATAAGAGATATGCAGACGTGCCGAATATATTGTCTCACCCTCTTCGTGGCTTTTTTTAGTTGGGAGTTCAAACCTAAGCACAAGGTACTCTGTGTCCGTCTGTAATAGCCACCCGAACGGACACCAAAATATATCACGGTCAGATGCTGGCACCTGATGGCCAATGGCCACCACGGGTCAGGGCTATGGTTGGTAGGTTCCATTACTCGCTGAATTGAGCTATTTCCAGTGTATTTTATGAACAAGTGTCTCTAGATAACTAAACTGTCCACCTTAAGCCATGCCCCCCGCGGAACACAAAACGTGCACTCTCAAGAATCATGATATTCATACCTTAGCGATAGTTCATTTTACTATAATAGCAGAACTCTGCCTAGCTGAAATATTTATCTGTGGCATCAACTTGCAGCGTGATTCATTTCTGCTCTGTTCTCTCCCATCACCTACCATCAGGGAAGCTACTCAAGGATAGTATACATCGCACTCTATCCAGGTTCTCTCTGCCTTTCGGACAGTGGCGACGTCGACGCTTGACGTCGGAGCACACGTACTCCCAACCCATCTTCGTCTCCGCCACCGAGCACAAAATACCATCACCAGACTCCATACCTTACCACGGAAATACCCTATATGGGACACCTTGCTCAGGGCCCAAAGGCGACGGAATAACGTGCGGTCGCGTTCCCGACTCCCGCTCGCGGATGCCCCGAAGACAGTGAAGCTAGAAAGGCTCCATAGGCTGGAAGTGATCGATCTAACCCCGTTGCCGCCGTGATGGACCGAGGCTTTCTCAGAGATAGAGATTGAACCAGATAGGGTTATTGTAATGGAACGGGCGGAGACGATACGGTCTAACTCAGACATTGTAGTTGTTTGACAGATTTGTCTCCATTAGGTCATTTGACCCAGATGGGCTCCATAGCTTAGATAGATCCCTTCGCCTCCAGAGAATCTAGCCTCATCATCCTCTCTCTTCTCTCATTCTTCCCCTAGATTCTAACAGTAGTATACTCCGATGCATCGGGACGCCAGGTCACTTGGGCGCCGCGGCCGCGGTACCCGACCACTCGCAGGAAATAACCGAGAAACACCAAGTACAGGCCGGACCCATGGACCGATGGAGACGTACATGCCGCCGAACTGATCTGAATCTTGTACGCTATCAACATCATCAACAAGATCGCCCTCCAACATCGGAGATCAACCGGTGTGCTAGTGAGATCTACCACCATCCTGAGCGATAGTCTGTCGGCACTACAAGCAATCCAGAATCCAGGGAACAAATCCGGGCAGCAAATCATCTACGCTATTCTACATACGCTATTCTACAGGCAGCCAGGAACACCAAGACCCACGGCATTCGCCGTCCGGCTGGATTGGATGCCTGGACATTGCGAAACAGCTGGGAACGGCACAGCAGACCAACTGGCTAAAGAAGCCGCCATTCCCGGTAAAACTCACCCATTTCCCCCCTTGCTATCACACGAAAAGGAACACATCAAAAGAGAAATCCACGCCCAGTGGGAGAAAGAATGGAAAGAGTCAAGGGATGGCGGCACATTCGCAAGATCGACAAGACATTGCCAGCCAAATACACAAGGCAGCTCTACGGATCTCTGCCAAGAAATCGAGCGTACCTCATACATGAGACAAGAAAATACCACAGCATATTGATGCCCGCGTGAGGTTCATGGTGTCTGACAACAAGAACACTATTCTGGCCGAAGGCGACATTCAAGGCAGCCTCGCCGTTGATTTAGCCGATCCTAGTAGGTTGGAACTCGACGGGATATGCAAGTGCCAAGAGACCGCGGTTTCAGCCAGTCGAGGTGAACCAATAACGCTGTATCTGAGCCCGGGAGTGAGGGTCAGTGCAGTGGTCGCGCGACGGAGGGTGAGAATCACCCACTCTCCCCCAGATTCTCACCCTGTCTATTGCGCACTCACCCTGTTGAGTTATGAGTGACGCTTCAATGTTTTGCATAGTTAATGGGAGTATTTTCTGTGTGTTGTTCGTTACATGAGGCTGGTAGCCAGGTGGATATATATACATGCACGTGCTCTCTATCTCAGAGACCGGGATATTCAACACACCCAACTCACCCCCGGTCGCGCGACTCTAAAGCGGCACCTACCCTAAACTCACCCGGGCGGCACCCACCCGATTATTGACTGCACATAAGCCGCACGCTGGTAGGTTAGTAGTTTGGTGACTCCTTCGCTCGGCTCACCTTCTCCTACCTCCTTGGCGACAGACACACTTGGGGCCTCTCCAAAAGCCACTACCTAGAATGAGAGGGCCATAAAAGACCGCTGCCCGTCCATTCATTGGCCATTTCTTCCTAGGCTGTACATATCCTAGCCTAAAACGTACTTCGTGGTGTTTATCCCCACCGGGACGGTGCCGCTGGATAACTATTAAGCTTAGTTGGAGCGGCGGGGGATACGGAGGCAGCGGATGCTTTCGATGGTGACGGTTTCCATCGAAATTTGTATTTTCATCATTTCTTTTTGCCCCTACGACTACGTGGACCGCTTCTTTTAGCTCTTTGCTGATTTAGTTTGGTACAGTAATACACCTGCAGCGCAGATGAAGTTCGGCCAGGAAAATGATCCGCAATTTCCTTCCATGTCAACTTCCGTTGCTCTTTCAGTTCCACCAGCAAGTGCTTCTCGTGGGTTGAATAGGTCTGACTTTTGCCCTTCCCGCGAGTTGGACGGGCTGTGCTTATAGACCGCTTGGAAATTCTACCTGGCTTCTCGAAGGAGTTGGGAATTCTCTGCGCGGGTACGCATGTTCTCGAGCGGACGTTGTCGGGCATGAGTGTGAAGAAGAAAGTGGTCTCTGATCCCTGCGTCTCGATGGTAAGAATTGCCCGCCCAACAATATCTCGATGCTCGAAATGCCCGGTCGATGAGCCCATAGAAGTGTCGTGGCCATGGCACGGAGCGGCCGTGCTTGGGAGGCCGTGTTTCTCCTTTAAGGAGTCCTCAACGTCAGAGAGTTCCGATTGGATTATATCGCTCGTCAAATCTTCGTCCGAGAAATCACCAAGGCCTTCACTGCCTTCGCTCCGATTAACATCTGATGGAATAAGTTTTGTCTTTAGGCGTACACTCCGTACAGGCCTAGGTCGTGGCGGAGGAATAACTACAGCGATAGCCGTGTGGTACTTGTTGCGAGTACTGTCTCGTTTTCCTGCCCGGAGCATTCGCTGTTCCTTTCCTTTGCATCTTCTCGGATCGGGAAAAAAGGCTTGAACGCTAGGCGTTCTCGAATGAGAAATAACGGACTCGTGCCCGTTGGCTTGTTCGAGCTCCATCGAATCGGGCATGTCAACAAGGAGCGGATCGACTGGTCCAGAAGGCCCTGAGTCAGCCACAGTTCTGGGGGAGCAGTCTGAAATCAATCTGGTTTGCCTTGCTTCTTCATAATCATGCGAACAGTTGCCTAGATAATCCTCTGGGGAAGGAACGTAGCGGTCCATATCGTTCCGCCTCTTAGAAGCAACATCTGAGCAGGATGAGACGGAAGAGAGCGCGGTGTTGGGACAATGTTCGCTACATGCAGTAGACACATCGGGCATATCCCAAGCGTCAGCGGGAGTAGGAGAAGGTTGATTCCGTCTCCACGGAACATTTTCTACTACATGCGACTGCGTAATCTCAGGGTGCGAGATTGCCGAATCTGGTAGAGGAACGGCGATCGCAGGGGACTGAGGAGGCCGTAGAGGGCTCGTGCACCTTGGTTGGGATCTCGGGAAGATGTCTGAACAGTCCGAGTCTAAGCTTCTGCTTGAGTTTGCACTAAACAATGACCGAGCTGGATTCAAAACTGATTAATAAAATGGAATACAGCGCAGCTCCGAACTTTAACTTACAGTCGCTAGGCGAGTTTTCGGCTGAGTTATATAGGCCGTGACAGTCTAGCCCCCGTAGCGAGGGACAGGCATCTCCGTCGCTAGCGTCAAGTGTACATAGCAATGGCATTGCCGCCCCACAGGACCTCGCCAGTTCGAGGTCAAAGATGTTAGAGGAGCCAATCTCATGCTGATCCGTTATATCCTCCGTACTAGTGGCCGGATGGTCGAACCCCATCGGGACCACTGCCAGGTCGTCGGTTGCCGAAGAGACACATCCAATAGAGAATGCGGGTTGCTCGTCTGGTAGCAAGGCATTAGAACCTTTGGAGCCTTTCTGGCTGCTGTTCAAGGCAAAATATGGCGGTTTTGCAGGCTTCGAAGGGCCGTGGTAGAATTGTATATTATCAAGGAGCACCGGCATGGTCTCAGATCCAGAGAGAAAAGAGGTGGACATAAACAAAGCGAAACGAGGCAAATGGACTACCAAACCGACCTGGGCAGACGGTCTAAATGATCCTTTTATAGCAGATCCAAGCATCCCCCGGAAAACGACATCTGGCGGCGCTATTCTGATAACGACCCTGCCCCGAACAGGAATTCAGGCCATTGGACACAATCGGCCGGCCCTGAACCGCTTTGGTACATCTTACTCGTTCCTTCTCCTCCTGTGTGGGACTCCCGGGGCTGGCTTCCAATCGTGTCTGGGAATCGTGTCTCTTGCATACACAACGTGCAATGAGGGGGGCCGTCCGCTTGCCTGACTAGGGTGTACAGATGCTATTTCGTCAGCCTAATGCCTGGATTGCCCTCCCGCGGTCAGGTTGCCAAGGCAGACGGGGCTTCCTTGTTCAGCTCCAACCCAAGTGTAACATCGGAGGGCTGTGCTCCAAGGTCGAGGAAGACACAGAATTACCTGCGGCCATATCACAAACTCAAAATCGGCGAAGAAGCTCTCATCGTCGAGGACACTGCCCACACCAGGCCCACCTGGATGTAGGAATCACGCCAGGGTGACCAGACGAGGAACTAGATGCGCAGAAACCGGCCGCTTGGAGGCGCCACTGCATGGCTTGACCAATCACCCCATCGACCGCCGACCATACCTCAGCTGACGCGCACGGCCAGTTAGCTCGTGTTTCAATCCCAGGTACGCGCCCTGGTCCCTTCGCTGCGGAACATACAGGAGTCGTACCCTGGGCCAATAGGAAAAAAAGCGCATCACTCGAGGCGAGCTGGGAAGACGAGGTGGCTTGAGGTTTCCGAAAACCGTGCGGGGCCATAGATAACAGGCCAAGGAGTGATGGTCGTTCGTGTTCAGGGGAGCGTCAGTGGTGTGACACGTCATCTGAATCACTGTTCCAAACTCGGAGGTGCGCATCAACCCCAGAAATCGTCTGCTCTCGACGATCGCTGCGTAACCGGGTACAGGGACAGGCTAAACATAGGACCGTTCAGTGACAGAGGGCATTGGAGAGGCGTTGGATGGGCAAAGCTTCACTCCAGCGAATTCAATAGAAACAGGACGCGTAGAATATGGGTACTACGTTTGGCAAAAGCGCTCGACCGGGAAACCATCAAAATCAGCAGGTCTGACGAGGAGAAGGGGGCGGACGGCGTCATGGAGGGGTTCCATCAGATGGTGCGAGTACAGCCCGGATGATGTTGCCAGAAAATCCCTCAACTGGACGGGGTCTTGCAATCCGCCCGTGATCGTCGATCCAATCGGACGCATCGTGGAAGTGTTGGAGGGGGGGAAGGAAGACGAGGGAGAGAATGGCGACGATGGAGCGACGCACCTGGGATTTATACACTCGCGACGTCGAGTCGCACGGCGGTGAAGGGATGGGTGCACCCGTTACGGATTAGCGCAACGACTACACCATGCTGGGCCTGCGCTAAACCGTAGTGAGGGGGAGTGGGGGCGGGCGCTAAACCGGGATTGGGAGGTTGCCATTTCCGGCAGCTGGGAAAAACTACGATAATAAGTAGACTATTAACCTACTAAAACGAGAGAAATTAGTATTCTAGACGAAACTACGGTATATAGATATTAACTAACTATAGATTTAGTAAGAAGTTTAGGCTAAACGCCTACTTATTAAATAGGTAAAGATAATTAATATATTAGCTAACGGTTTAACGAAACGTCTACTAGCTAATAAGTATATCACCTTTATTAAATAGTTAGGTATAGAGCTATCCCTATTATATTAGGCTTATTCTCCTACCCTTTCTATTCTTTCTATCAGCTCTTACTTTCGATCTTTATTTCTTTTACTTCGATACTCACTAAGAGCTAAGGAGGTGTATCAGCATATATAGTAGATATATACTAAATTAAAATATATCTAAATAGTAAATACGGGGCTTTCCCTTTATACGGTCGAGATACGACTAAGGACCCACTTTTCTTACCCCTTATTAGATAACTTAACCTCCTCGTCGGACGACGAGATCGATCAGATTGATCCTCAACAATCTTATATATAATTATATACACTTATATACTATCGCCTACCTAGGCAGGAGACTACTTAACACTCTAAGGATATTCCTTCTATTCTATTTATTATTCTGCCGTGTACCCCGCGATATAAGTATCACTATATTTTCTAACTAAATTAAATTAAGTTTAACATCTCTTCATAATATAAGAACTGCTCTCGAGTATATTTAACATAACTCTTCTTCTTTATCAATAAAGCTGACTACGTGCCTTCTCATAAACCGTCTCTCTTCAATCCTATCTTTTGCATACCTCTTTATTATATATATGCATTAGACCTTTCCACCTGTTTTCTGCCGAAGACCCTTTCTATCGGGAAACACCACTTCTAAAGAAAACCTACCTCCTATAACTAACACCTTCTAATTCTTAATATAACTAAGCACGTTTCGATTCTCTATAGGTAGTAGCTTCGTCCCGCCGCCTCCTAGCACTATCGACTTTTAGCTAGACTTATAGGCCACCGCTAGTAGCACTTAGTCGCGGTTAGAGAAGGCTAGGGCCCGCACGGCTAAGGTACGCGAAGCTAGAGCTAAAAAGATCGCCGAGAGACGAACCGGCAGCGATAACACCGATAATACCGGTAGTATAAGGAAGATAGTACGTATCACGGAAATCATAGAGGAGGCGAATTAGGAGAGGCTAGAGTCAGAACTTAGCTTAGAGCTAGATAAGGTTAATATAAGAGATCTAGAACGCTAACTAGATACGTATAGGAAGGATTAGGACTACTAACTATTATTATTACCGGAGTTAACGGTAGCGCTAGCGAAGGAGGGGAGGAAGCGGAAATAGCCCTATAGCGAGGACCTCTCTCTTAATATCCGTTTAGCTGGGAGACGTAGGATATATAGTAGGAAATCTCCTAGATCGAATCGCTAATAAATTATTACACCCGCCGAAAAAACACACCGAAGGAACTTAAGATATACTAATATAACGTGTATAGGTCGAAGGATATAGTTATAGCGTAGTTTCTGCGTAAGAAGGAAGTCGCTAGCGCCGATATTATCGCGATCTAGGAGCCGTAGGAGAACCTATTCCAGGATAACACCCACTACCTACTAAAGTAGATATATAAGCTACTATATCCGGCGGCGAACGAAATAAGAGATAGAGCGAGGGTGTATATATTTATTTCGAAGATAATAGGTAAATATACTTACCTAGTCTACTCTCGCGACTACTAAGAGGTCCGTATAAAGACCGAGTTATCTAGAGAGCTTCGAATCATTAACGTATATAACGATTAATAGCGCGGGGTAGCTCTCTACCTACTATAGGAGACGTTACTACCTATACGCGAGTAAAAGGGGGCCTCCTATCTGATTCTTAGTGATTTTAACCTATATTACCTAGTATAGGGTAGTGATAAAGCCCTACGGGATATAAAGGTAGAGGATCTTCTAGATCTTATAGAGACGGCCGGACTAGATAACTAGTTAGCACTAGATACCGCTATACGCGACTAAGCCGGATACTAATTAACGATCGACCTTACCTTAGCGTTATACTCGCTACGTAAGTAGATAATAGCGTATAGGGTCGATTGAGATATATATACTAACTCCGACTACCTACTAATACTTACCCTACTCAAAGCTAACGTACTAGAAGCTACGGACCCTATTAAGCGCCGGAACTAGAAGGCTATAAACGTAGAGAAGTTCCTTACCTTTACCTTAGCTAACCTTCGCACGATATAGCTTCCGAAAGAACCTATACCGCGTAAGATTAACTACGCCGTTAACCACCTTATCGATATTATTTAGTAAGCAGCCTAGGAATCGACACCCTAGGCATACCTATCGTAGTAGGCACGCTAGGGATAGACTCCTAAATATATAGAGGTAATTAAGGCGTTATATAGGTAATATCGGAGATATATATAAATATATAGCGATAAAGACTAGGAGGAATATATATCGGCGAGGAATACGAAAGGGAGGACTATTAAGAAAGTAATAAAATAGGGCTTCCGCTAGTAGGTGCGAGAGATAATTAAGATAGGCCCCCGAGGCCTTTAGAAAGTATCGAAATAGGCCCGAATAAGAGATTAGTCGACGAGTAATAGTATTCCTACCTTATAATCACAGGGAGGCCTCGTAGAGACTAACTAGTAGAAGGTCGGGCTACTTCGTTAAGTATTCTTCCTATAGCCCCCGTAGGCCGATCTCTCCGATATCGATCTAACCTTACCTCTAAATTAACTCACCTTCCCTGCAATCTCATAGTAAGAGGTTATCGATATAATTAAGCGTACACCGCCTAATAAAGCACCTAGTGAGGATAGTATCCTAAACCGCGTATAGAAGATACTAGCAGAAAATAACCACGAATTCGTGGCTATTCTAACGGCTATCTTCGACGCGTATATACGAACGGGTCATAATCCTCGCTACTTCTAGGCGTCTATCATAGTAATACTTCGCAAAGCAGGACTAAGAGACTTCCGTATACTAAAATCGTACCGGCTAGTCACCCTATTAAACACCCTCGGTAAGATCCTCGAGTCCGTCGTCGCCATATATATCGCGTAGGCGGTCGAGGAATATAGGATCCTACCGAAAACCTATCTTAGTGGCCGGAAGGGTATCTCGGTAGACTATATAATCTAGCTAATTCTTAACCGCGTACACTACGCGTAGGGGTAAGGTAAGAAGGTATCGATGCTTCTACTAGATATAGTAGGTACATACGATAACGTCTCATATAAAAGGCTTTTATATAATATTAGATAGCTCCGGCTAGGCTAGTTTGTTAAGGAAGTATCTACTTTACAGGGTAGATGGCCTGTCAACTAGGTAGGAGAGGAAAGCACCAAGTCAGATTGAGACAAAGACTGTTTCTTGAGGAAGATAAATCCCACTTCCTCAAGCATCTGTTTAAATACATCATCTTTTGTGCAAACAGGAATCAAACACGAAGTAAGGGGGAAACCATGGCGAAAGGCCACCGCATGGCCAACGCATGGCACATACTGTGGGTGCGGCCTGCATGCAGCGTGGCTGTCGCGTATCGCGGCCGAGGGGCCACCGACTGACCGCCGGATGGCTACCGCCTTAGCAGAACCCTCGGTCCACGCATGCCTGAGGCCCCAATATCAGTGTGTGAATAGTCTCATCGAAATATCATAACATAGTTTGTGCTATAGATCGCCTCTTTCCTAAGTGGCAGAAACACTCGCATTAAACTACCAGGCTATCTATTAGATAGCTTCCCTACGCCCGCTAGTATCCCACAAGGATCGCTAATCTCACCAATCTTATTCCTACTATTCAACGCGCCGTTAGTCTCGATATATAATATATATACTCGAGGAGGAATAGGCATTACGTACGGCTTTAGCTAGGTTAACGATATAGTAATCATCGCGGAATCAGAAATATATCACGACAACACTAAACTACTAGAGAAGGTGCTAGGAAGAGCAGAGCAATAGGCGAAACGGCATACTACAAGGTTCGTACCCGATAAATTCGAACTTATCCACTTCACTAATCCGGCAGAGAGCGAAACACTATAATCTACCAGTCCGATAACCACGATCGGATCCGACATCTTCGACTATACGATATAGCACCCTAAGGGCAACGACCAGATACCCGTCGAATATAGCAATTTATTCATATAACTAACATAGTCCGCTAAGTATTTAGGTGTTTAGCTCGATAAACACCTCGATTTTAATATATACCACCAGAAATTACTCGCTAAGGCTAATAATAGCCTTAAAGCCCTTCGAGCGATAATAGGATCAGTATAGGGTACCTCACTAACAGCTATACAAAGGGTCTACTAAGTAATAGTAGTACTATAGATACTCTACGGGGTATCTATATAGTACTACCCTACGGTAAGAGCCATACCGGCCGGTAAACTACGATATACTATTAACGAATTTACCAGGATCTAATAATAAGCGGTAATCCTTATTAGTAGCGCCTTTAAATCGACTAACGCTACGGCTCTTAACGTCGAGCTCTTTATCACACTAATCTATCTTTATATAGACCAAATTATCTAGGAGATAGCTATACGAATCTAAATAGGCGCCGCGTAGGCCTAGCTAGACTGCCTCCGCCGTTAACGATCACTACACGAAACGAGAAGAGGGGGGTAGAGCCCTCTCGAGGCCCTTAGATAGAAGAAAGATAGTATTCTAAACCGATAAGGGACGTAGGAGTCCTAAAAAGCTTTTATTCTAGCACTATAGGAGGCACGGATCCTATACTTCATCGACTAGGATATAGAGGCTACGCGAGCCTCGTATAATAAGATAGAATCTCTCTAATAAGACGAGATAGAATCTCTTTAATAAGCCGCACCAGACCGACCGAAGGTCTTCTTCATAGATAGTAGTAGGTACGAGGGTATAGTAGGTACGTTAGCCGTCGCCCCGCGCGAGGGTATCTTCTAACAGCGCTACCTCGGCACTACCGAGGAAGTAATAGTATACGTTACCGAGCTTAACGGCATTAAAATAGCGATTACTAGGTTCGTTAACTAATAAAAATATAATAATAGGCCCGTAAAGCTTATCATTTTCTCCGACTACTAGGCCGCTATCTAGGCGGTACAAAAACTAAAGCGATCGTTAGGCTAGTTCGTGCTAAGTAACATCTATAACTATATATAGGCCCTTCGATCGCTATAGTAAACGCCCGCGTTCGATCAGATTCCTATCGAGATCCGTTAGATCCCTATATATATAGGCGTGCCTAGTAATAAGACCGCTAACGTTGAAGCAAAGTTAGCGGCTATCGGAGGTATAGGGAGTAGTAGAAAGGATCCACCGCCCGCCGGTAATTCGGCTAGTAGATCCGCGAACGGTCGAGTCCTTCTAGCAGCGACCGTAAAACGCCGTATACGGCGGCGAATTAAAGAGAGATAGGTATAAGAATAGGTAAAAGAGCGAACTAGTAAACCGAACCAGCGTTTAGTAAGGGCCCTAGACAAGAAGGTACTACGATTATTCGACTTACTATTAAAACCGTATACCTCTATTCTAATTTAAATACGTTCTATACGGATCGCGTTAAATCATTTCTTATATAAAATTAAGGCGGTTAAATCAGATAAGTACTACTATAGAGAAGGGTCTTAAACACCGAGATATATCTTAATACAGTGCCCGTTATACGCTAATCTAAGATAGACCTTCCTTAACAAGATCCGGATAACCGATCTTAGGGACTCGACGGATTATGATATAATCGTATCACACTCGTAGGCCACCTACTACATAGCCGAATTTATGCTCTAAACAGGCCTTCTAGGGCAGTTCCGGTACGTCGAGATCGAGCTAGAGCCACCGAAAGAAGGCGACGAAAACAACAAGCCAGGATAGGCTAGTAGGCATAGGGGGTGAAGACGCTGGGTAGGAGGAACGCCAAACCCACGGCCAACTAAGAGGCTGTGGAAGAATACATCCAATAAGTCAACACACCAGTCGACAATAAACGTCACCAATCGAGAACGAAGCAGGAGGATATGGATACCGGAGAAGGAAGGCAGAGATGGAGATACAGAGGAAGCAGCAGGCCAATGTGAGGGCTGACTAAGGGATATATCGTGGGCTTGAGGGCTTCGAGGGCGTTTTAGTACTGTTTTAGCACTGTTTTTGGGCTGTTTTATATGGCAATACGCCGTTTTCCTATGTATCTACTGTTTCATGCGCGCGGGCTGGCGTTCGGATCACTCTTGCTTCCGCCGGAGGAAGCGCCTGCATAGCCATTACGCCACTAGTTAGGCTGCAACAGGTTAATAGAGTGTTGATTGATTGATTGATTGATTGAAGAACATCGATGATACTCGAAATGATCGAATATTTTGCCATTTATGCATCCAGGGAGACGTAACGAGAATTTGACCACAACCGTCCATTTATTTCAGGAAAAGAAAATGGCTTGCTAATGCAGAAAGTTGAACAAGGAGGTGCTGAATTTTTGGGCCACATTTATGGCGAACATATTAGTCAGTACGAAAAGCCCTTGATCGAGCAGATTGAGATGCTAGAAGCCAATTCATATTCTGGCAGCTGGGCCAACGACCCCTACAACACGCGTGAGGTCCTCGACCAATGTTTGAAGATACTCCACCAGCGAGTCGAGCTTACCAGGAAAAAGCTTTATCTTCTAAAATTAGGAATGGAGACCCTAAATGGGAACGAGTGCTACGAACTCCATGAAGCTTCAAAGCCCATTCTGTGTACACCTTCCGTTTTCCCGCCTCCTTAACTTCTTTTCCAAAATTAGAACTTTTGTTGAATAGCACCAAGTGTCACTTGACTGCATGTCTTGATCCTTCTCGTATCTCAAGCCTCATACTAATTAGCGACTCAAGATCTCTATTGTCAGAGAAATTAAGCAAGGTATATATGACAGGGAAAAAATACCCAAGGCTAGCTTCTAAAAGCATGCACACAGCTTGGAGCTCCATTACACTATCTTCTCTAATAACTCCTAACAAGCCTAAAGGCACAGCGCCCACATTAAAGAACAGCAATATGAGAAGGCAAGAGGTATATCAAAGATCGAAACATGATAGTTCTCCCGCAAGGGTCTATTTTGTCGGTCTTGAGAACTTGACAAAAATAAAAGAGGCCAGTCTTCCATTATCAGACCTGACTATGCTATGCAACTCTAGGCCCAGGAGCTTGCTATCTGTGGCTGAAAGGGCTTGTGGCCTATCGCACCTTCCTCGTTTCCAACGCCCCTGGACCTCTCATTCTTCTCATCTTTACTATCATTATCTTTGTCAATCCCAATTCTTACCCGGATACTCAGATATATCAATAAAATGACTTTTTGACGCTGTTCAAATGTGTTATTGGCAAGCTCCGTCTCACTGGGGTGACCAGGCCTTAAGGCTTTGTCTCAGAGTGGCTCTGCCCTTTCCGTCACTAGGGGTGGCGAGAGTACCATGCGTCAGACACCTGCTTCTGAAAGTAAGCTTGGGGATCCAATCACCCTCTTCACAAATAAGAACTCACTGAGATTCGCCATAAACAAGTAGCGGCTTGGGCAGCAATTATCCAAAGATGGGTGCATTACCTGATTCGAAAATTTTCATTGCGAAAGACTTTTATTAACGATTACTAAAGTTGACGAGACGCTGGAACCCCCCTGGCAAGGACTAGTACATTATCTGGATATTGTAAGGTCGTGAGCACGTGTATCCCACGCCGAGTCACTGTGTTATTGACTAGACAGTTTGCAATCCTATGAGAGAGTTCCTGTAACGAGTGTCGAAAAAGAGTTGCTAAGTACACCTGGTATTTGGTGAGATCTATTATATGTCCAAGTGCTATCTCTTTCACCGTCCGCGTCTTATGTCTTCTTGTCCCAGTCAATGTCCCAATCTTTCAAGCTGTTAACCTCATCTAAATACATCTCAAACATTTTGACAATCTTGTCATCCTTCTGATGCGCCTGGCCCGGCTGAAGCTTGGCACTCGCCGGACGGTTCAAATCGTAGGCTTTCTTGGTCTTGTCTTTCAAGAACTTTTTCACAGTTGCCTGGACACGCGTGTGCTCAGAACGAACCCACGTCTTCCACAAATCTTCAAACCCTTGAGACTTGTATTTCTGATCATACGTCCCCCCAAAATTACCCACTGTCGAGTCCATCAACCCATCAGCATCCAACTCCTTCAACCGGGCTTGAACTCGGTTTGCCTGCTTGACCAGTGTCGTCTTGATCTCATCCAGATAGTAATACTTCCAACAAACTATTTGGAGCTTCAGATACTTCGACACGTTATCCCACTTGCTAGCTTGCATCTCACCATCAATTGCAGACTCCCCATATAGTCTCGATGCAGCAAACCACTGTTCATATCAGTTAGTGATAATCCTTGCAGTTGGGGGGTAGGAGAAGCGCAATGTTTCAGAGACAGCAGGCACTTTCCCGGAGGATAAATTACCCCTTGCTTAACTTTGGAGTTCAAATCACTCGCCAAAAGAACCATTTCATCAGTGTAGTGACCCTTATAGCCGGGGTATACACTCCCAAGATATGAATTGGCATTCAGCCCGCCGGGGAAGACAGCGGGCTTTTGCCACCACTGCGCGATCCACTCGCACCAAGGTATGTTGGTTCTAACTTTCTTCGAAACCCGAGGGTCTAGGTAATCCCGAATGTTGGGGTTCGTCTGTGCACCCTTCGCACTCAGTTGTGACCATTTCTGGGCGCAGTCTTTGAAGAAACGCTGGACAGTTTGTGCTTCCAAGACATGCTCGCTATCATATTGTCGATTATTGTTGGAAGCAGCAACTCCTGGTTTCGTCGGTGTTTTTGATAGTTTGCTTAAGCCAAGGTTGTTGCAATCTTTGGGATCACTCGCATCATATGTTGCGACATTTGGATACTTCACGACAAGCTCACCAGAGGAGGGAAAATTGCTGAACTTAATCATGCCAATGTTGGCCGTGTCAAATCCGTCATATTCACCTTGACTTTTTGGATTCTGCATGCAATAACCCAGTTTCTTTTCCGACCGTTTTTGGAGATTGCTCCGCTTTCTGGTATATGTTTCTTCTTCCTCGTCTTCTCCATCTCCATCATCCCCTGGCAGATTGCTCAAATCACAATCTAGATCACTATTTTCATCCGCACAATATACACCTTTGGTGGAAAAGGCGCATGTCACATCTGATCGGTCAGGCAGGTCAATGTTTGACCCGATTGTGGAACGCGATGTTAAGTTGTTTTCTTGGCCATCAAGATCACGGCCGAGGAGAATGTCGAATGGCACGCAACCCGAGTACAAGGTTGCAGGGTTAGGATTTTCCCAGTTGTAAGATTTACTGGACCATCCGGGGAGAGCGTTTGTGACAGCAAAGTCGACATCCAGCTTTCCAGTGACATCGAACTGCATACCTGCACTGCACTTTGAACTGATTGCGGCATCATAACGTATAGAGCCTGGCGTGCTCAGAGTAATTGACGTATTCACGTACTCTTCCCCTTGGAATTGCAAATTGATATCGACGCCAATCGTTGGCCGGAAGCCAAGAACAAGACCACCTCCAGCCTTAGCTTCAATATCGCCAAGACCAGAGATTGGACCGGTCACAGAGCTCAGCTCCCAATCTCCTGTAATCTCAGTAGGGTTATTTCCAAGGTTGACCGGGAGGTAGTATCGGAAACGCTCATGACTGATGCTGATTTCACCAGTAGCTTGGGCCGATATGTATGCATCAGCCTCCACACGCGCATCCATCTTGAAGTATGGATTTATGGTGAACATGCCCTTGACGTAGGAGTTCATACCAAATGGCTCAAAAGAACCCATTGAAGCCCACCCGCTATCAAAGTACATTCGTGCGCGGGCCTCAAATCCAGCACCCATTCGCATCGAGAAGGCCTCTTGATTGAAGTAGGCATAAGATTCCGAGAATCCGAAATTCTTCAGAGTTCCAATCAAACTCATGCCAAGATCCATAGTCGTGTTGAATTCGCCGTAAACAAAAGCTTTGGCTCCGATATCAGCATTCTTGCAGACCCCCTTTGCCTCAAACAAGCACTGGTTGAACTCGTAGTGCTTCTTCAGGCCTTCATTACCCTTGGTAAGAAGGGAATTGAAGCGTTTCTGCCAGTCCTCCCACGAAGAAGACCAAAAACGACGATCTAGATGGCGCCAATTTTCAGCAGAGCGCTTGACGGGCGAATCTGGGGATGCGGCAACAATCTCGTCCCAATAACCTGGATGATTAGAAAGATCCGCGCGGAAGTAGATCTCACCACCATCTCGGCGGAGATTTTTGAACTCATAGTCGTATTTGAACTCGTATACTTTGTTTGCATCAGGGTGTCGCTTCTGTATCGAATGCGGTAATGTTGCGTTATTGGAAGCCTCGAAGCTGACAGCTCGCACGTAGGTGTCAGGCCCGCAGTTCGATGGCAATCGAACAACGGTACCCTCAACCCCCCCAAGTAGAATATCTTCACAGTTGTTCTCCTCGTCTGTACCTCCCACGCAAATAGCTTTTAGTGTCTGCGTGTCGAAGTCCTCTGGTTCAGTATTGGGGCAATCGAAAAGTTCGAGGTGAGAACCGTCGCGTTTCTCGAAGCTCTGAACATCTTCCTGGTCTCCAGTCATGATGACCCAGGTGAATGCTTTCTTGTTGGGATCGGTTGACTGGACATCGGCTGATAACTCATTGTATGAATTGTCAATGTGTTCCGCAAATGTAGTGGTATAGCTATCGGGGAATGAATCTCCTGTAGGGAATAGGTCTTCCAGTGGCACCGGAAGGAAGGCAGATCCATTACTTAGAGGTGGTGGGCAGCAATATGCCTGTTGTCGACCTTTGTTGCACCCTCTATAACCATAACTCTCTCCCTCATGCCAGCCATTCCACCGGAAAAGCTCAACTTGACCCTGAGTGAAGATATTAGCATTCAAAAAACGAGATCCCTCTAATCTCCGGGGCTATTTTTCGCAAATTAATTTTTTTGACTCACCAAGGGACATTCATTATCATTGCAATATCTGTCTTCCCCGTACCAGTCACATTTGTCTTGATGGAAATCTGGTTTCGATGGACAACAAAGCTTTCTCTTGTACTGCCGGCCCATGCCGTCAGGATCGCGGAGGAAGTTCCCAACTGAGGTCATTTCTTGTGGTTTGTCATTTGGGCAGTCTGAATCTACGTCGGCCAGGCCACAGTTTTCAATCGCAGCCTGCCCATTTGTCGCGGGACAGCACCAGACTTTCTTGCCACCGTTCGTGCATCGCTTTCCGCTGTCACCATAGTCATCTAGAACCATACTGACTTCCCCAGCTTTGCATTGGCCATGACAATTGGTCGGACCTCCAGTCCAATAACAAGTCGATGCATCGGGAGCAGTTCGTGGAGGGCAGCAGAAAGATCGAGCATTGTGATCGGGTCCACCACATGCATGACCACTGGAATCCTGATTGAGCCTTGTCATTTCTAAATCACCGGTTCCACATCCAAGCCCGCACTTGGTAATGTAACAGTCATCAATGTTGAACGCTCCATAGCTTTTTGATGCGGTAGGGAGCGGTACGACATCTTTGCCTACAACGCCACGAAGAGCGTGATAGTAATCGTCATCTTGATCAATAGCCCAAATGAGCAGACCACCGAGGCCATACTTGTTGGCAAGATCAATCTTTGCTTGGAACGAGATCGTATCATCAAAGGAGACCCAGGAGCTACCACCGCTGCCATACAGCAGATAGTAGACGCCAGCTTCCTCGTCATAGATAGGACTCAAATCTGCATTCACAATTTCCTCCTTGATCTCCTTGTAGGAAAGAATACCCGCAGTGGCTGTGCATCCCCCTTGGGGGCCGGGGTCAGTCCACTCACAGCCTGGCTCGCTGCACAGGGGCGTTTTCAGTGTATATGTACGACCATAGAATGCAAGTCCAAGGCTGATTTTGGAAGGATCAACGTCGTTTCTCCAGAATAAGTCCAAAGCATCATCAATCTCTGTCAGGTTGGTGTGTGCATACACATATGGACCAATTGGATCCTCACGATCCCAGCGGCCATGAAGGTCGTACGCCATGAGATTGAACGTATCTACCGTGTGTTGCAGCTGGTTGATATCGAACCATCGCAAGTACCAGTAAGAGGTGGGCACTGTGATTGAAATTCCCCATGACTTGGAGTAGTTGTTTCCGCCCTTGAGGTAGCGACGCATCTGGCCCAAGAGCTTTGGGTAGTTCTCAATATCCTCCTCGCTACCACCCCGATCATCAGCACCGGGATATTCCCAGTCTATATCAACGCCATCAAAGCCGAACTTGTCGAGGAATTCCATAAGGTTCCCAATGAACTGTCGGGCAATAGCTGTGTCTTTGGCAATGTTAGGAAAGACAGACTGATAGATGCCATCATCGTTGAAAGTCCAACCACCCACACTAACCCAGATCTCTGCATCGGGTTTGCGGGTCTTGAGATCAGCCACCTTGGCGTAGACGTCTGTGGCTAGGCTGGAATCATCCATCCCAATTATGCTGTAATCCTTCGGATCGATGTAGACGAATGCCAAATTGACCTGATCTAGATACTCGATAGGGATCGCATCGGGCGTCATATCACAGCCATTTATGTCGTCTGCCTTCCATACCTCATAGTATCCAACAATTTTATTTCTCACGTCACCTCCAGTTCTGGGAGGTGGCTTCTCGGGGTCTTGACAGTTTGATTGACAGCCTGTACCCGTTCCACAGAATTCCTCCGTCGTCCCGCAAAATCCAAATTGACTATAACATAGATTATAACATACTGTTAGTCACCAGGTCTAATTATGCAAAAGAAATAGATATAAAGTCGGTAATGAGTGCACTTGAGGAAGGGAGGGGCAAGGAGCGAAACATCACTTGCTCCATAGCGAAAAGGAGACAGACCTGCAACAAATGTTCAACGGGCACAATTGTCCGGGAGTAGCTGCGTCTCGACCGCAGGGTGCCTTAGCGTCACAATGAGATTGACAACCTGTGCCACAGTAAAGATCACCGTATCCGCACACATTGCTGGAGCCACAGCATGCCTTGTTCTTGCACGGTTTGTCTGGGCCACAAGTATAATCGTCTTCATTTATATCTGAATCACGTCGAAGAAAATGATGGGTCTTGGCAGCTGAAGTAGGCTGCGACGCATGCGTTGAAACCGACTGATGATGGCGCTGGTAGGCATATCTACCATGCGAAAAGGCTACTGTTGTCTGTAGTAAAAGCCACAGCCCAAGTGAAACCTTCATGGTGATTAGGCAGTGGGCATAAATATGGGTTCTCTAGTTCCCTCTAACTGGAATTGCGCGACATCTTACCCTTCTATATACCTTCGGCTACGAAGCAGGAATTGCATTTTTTTAATATTTTCCCAATTAGTCCTAATTATACGAAGCAGGTCCTGTATTTTCTAGGAAGTTGATCGATTCTCACCATGTATCAACACGGAAAATACAGTTTGAGTCCTGGATAAGTACTTACCTTACTAGTGTGCCAGAAAAAGTGGGAAGTGAACGAGCATCTTACACTGATAGTGCCGGGGTGCAACGTGCGATACAACCTTCCACGTGAAAGTCAATATGAAGGACCGAAGAATTTGCCGAACATACCCACATGAGATCGACTTTGGAAGTTAGGGAAATGAAGGCAGTGCCAATCAATTGACCAAAACAGGTGTAAAATCCCCGAGAGCCTTGAATTCCCAATTTTATTCGGATATTCTGCCAAGCGCTGCATGCTGGTGGAGACAACCCCGCTGTCACGAACTAGGGAAAGTCTTGGAAGGAGATACCAGTCTAGTAACGTTCTGTAAGCGCGCATGGCTTTATGTAAGCCGCGCATAGCGCATTCGATGATTGAGATAAAAATTGTATGATAGCGTCTAGCTAGCAGGAGAACGCATCGTTTCCATCATCTTGTCTACTTGCCAGAATTCGAAACAAAAAGCGACATTCATGAGGGCTTATAATCGAGCCTTGGCTTTTTTAAGCCTTGCTGTGGGATTTTCCTGCGTTCAAGGGCTACAGCTCTTTACGGAGGACTCATTGCCAGAATTTTCGTCCCAATGCCTCTCCGCAATGACAGCCAATCTGTCGTGTCAAGTTTTGGAAGTTGGAACTGGCATGTACCAATTGACGGCTAATATATCGAGCGAAACTCTTGAAGCTATGTGTACCGATGAATGCCGAAACTCGATTGCTTCTTATCGGAAGACTGTTGAAACAGCCTGTGCTGATGATGAGTATGATGACTCTGGAAACTCGACCAGTGCGACCGCGAGCACGGGTATATATCGACCCATTGTGTTGGCTGACTATTATTTTACCAACTATGACCAACGGTGCCTTCAAGATTCTGATGGGAAGTACTGCTTATTTCACCTTCAGAGCACAGATAGCCAGGATGAGTGCGATACATGTGGGCTCAGAATGTTTCAATCAGAGTTGAGCAACAGTTACTTCTACAATGATGATCTGGCAGAGCAGTATAGTTCTTTGACCTCTAGCTGTGGTGTTTCAACACTGAATCTTCCTTCACCTACCAAAGTTGTTGTGCAAAGGTATAATATGACCCCATATGAAAAGCCATCTGAGATTTGGTTTCCGTTCTAATCATTGAAGTTTAGCCTCTCGGCAAGCATGCCAACCCCCACCGGATGCAACGATCGACAAGCAGTTATTCAGCCGGGAGACACTTGCGATACATTTGCAGCCGCAAATAACGTTAGCACCTGGCGTATGCTCATTGAAAATGGGCTACAGAGTGGCTGTGTGAATTTTCCAAGCAATGGAACGCTCTGCGTGACAGGCCACTGTCAGACACACCTCGCAACTGCCGAAGACACTTGCATGGGCCTGTCCTCTAAATATGGCATCACCATAACGCAGCTTATCACATGGAATTCGGTTTTGAACAGCCTTTGCAGCAACTTCGATATTGTTGTTGGCCACCAGATTTGCGTAAGCTATCCTGGCAACGCGACATCTCAGGATAATCCATATGCTTCTAGCAAGGCGGGTAGGGCGGCCACAGAGGCAGCTCCTATACCGACAAATGTTGTTGCTGGAACCAATGTCAAATGCGGGAAGTATTATCAAACCAAGGGTCAGTTTTAGAATGCAACATCCGCAGTGGAAGGCCGCCGCCTAACCGGCGTGAAATTTAGACTACGACTACTGCCAGGCTATAGCCATGGCTCAGGGAATTAACCTGGATGACTTCCTCTTTTTGAACCCAGAACTTGATTCCAACTGTACCAATCTGTATCTGAACTACAGTTATTGTGAGTTGTTGACATACATGACAAATAATCATTTTCAGTTCTCACTGCTAATATATTCAGGCGTCCAACCGGTCGGCGACATCTCAACATACCCTGGATATGCAAGCTTGACCAGCAGCGGATCGAATGGGGATTATACACCATACGTGACTCAGTTTGTGGGAACTCGTGTATCTTGGGGTGACTTGCCCGTAGCAACCAACCTCACCTCATTCACCCCAATTGCCACCCCTTCTACCGCACCTCTCGCAAAAAAGACACGCTTGGATTGTGAAGAGTACAAAGACAACCTTTATGGCTCAGTGCCTTGTGACTGGCTTGCTCTAGGTGTCAACCTTCCAGACTTTGCCACCTGGAATCCATCGTTGGATGTATATGATTGTATGTTAACAAATAATACGCGATACTGCACGCTTCTAGGGACCGGGTATGACACAAGTAAATTGAACACCACAGTTTCGCCATACGTGGATGTCCCATCCGACGCAGCCGTTAATTCGACTCCGAATTGCTACAGCTGGTATCACATATCAAAAGGTATGTTCCAACACCGCAACTTTCCAAGATACTTCGAGTCTATTCCTACTGACATCATGAAGCAACACCTTGTGATGAGATCCTGTCATTTGCCAATATCGCCTTCGATGCATTCTATGCATGGAACGTAAGTTCCCACCAAATTGCAAGCAATCTTGAGATGCTAACCACATATCCCGCTTGATACAGCCGAGCGTGAAAAGCGACTGCTCAAATATCTGGCTGAACGTGTCTTATTGTATAGACGGTGACGGCTTCGATGACACCTCTTACCCGGGTTCTAGCACCCAAACTACTTCTATTCCAACTTCAGCATCATCATGCACGGGTGCCTCCGCGACCGCTCCGGGTCCTACCCAAAGCGGGATTCCATGTGATTGTAACAAATACGCAATGCACGATGACGGTAAGTTCCTACTGGCGATACATTCTACGCTGCTGCTACGGGGTTCTCATGTTATTGTTAGATGTTTACTGTCAGGGAATGGCAAATGAGTATGGTATTACTCTCGCTGAGCTTTATAAGCTCAATCCCGCTCTTAATGGCGACTGTAGTGGGCTGTGGGCCGGTTATGCCTACTGCATTGGAACTCCAAGCTTGAGCACATCTGTCCCTGCCACCACGACTAATACCGCCCCAACCGCAACTTCGAGTGGAAATTGCGCGAATGTCACTCCACCGGGGCCCACACAATCGGGTATTCCCTGCACTTGCAACAAGTATCTGATGCATGATAAAGACGGTCAGCTCCCTCATTGCCTTCTTCCTAACTACCGACGTGCTGAATTATTATTTCTAGGAGTCTACTGCTATGACATTGCGCAAGATAGCGATATAAGTTTGGACGAGCTATATGAGTGGAATCCTGCACTCAATGGTGATTGCAGTGGGTTATGGCTCAACTATGCATACTGTATTGGAGTGCAATGAAGCACATTGACGTTGTGTGGCATAGCCATTGGCATATCATAGAGGCCTCGAATCAACACTTCGGATTTATTCCGTTTTTCCAGCGCAACGAGCCGACCTGAGTAAATTGAGCAGACAAGTCTTGGAGCTGTCAGCGTATGAATGTAATTTGAAAAGATTTTAATCGGGACCCTTGAATTCTCCATTCAAATTTGCCTGTATCTGGTTTTTACTACTCCCCCCCCCCCCAAGGACAAAAGAGAGGGGAAAAAGGGGGGGGGGCTCTTAGGCCCTCCCGAATGACGATGATCTTTTTTACAAGGAGTGGAAGTTGAGTGAGTCATTGATCACTTCCTACCAATCTTGGAGTGAACGGCGATGCATATCTTCCCCTCGCCGGAATCCACTACGGATTATGATGTACCCTCATGAGTAGTAGCTTCGGCCATCGTTGTTGTTGAAACAGGGCCCGAGCTTTCGCCCCCGGCAGGCCCCGCCGCCACTTGTGGACCCTTAGGAAGCTTAAGACCTATAAGACCCTGCGGGATCAAAAGGAATGCATACATAAATATATGAAACAATGATCAAGTTATTATCCCAGCGACGTTGCATTCGCATAGCGAGCTACACTAGAATCTGACCAACCACCAGCGGAAGGAGACCTTGGGATTGAACCCACAGGATGATCATATCGCTAAGTGCAGTATTAGTTAAATTAGCAGCATGCAGGTACGATCTTGGCATAGAGAAAACCATAAAGAAGTACAAACTGGCGTGTTTCGGACCGTTGACTCGATTACGCGAGGTGGGAAATCAATGGAGTTTTCGGCGCCTCACTCGGGCGTATCCAACGAATCGTGGATGTTTTCTGACGTCGGAGCTTTGTTTTCGTAGCTAAGCTTGGTAGCGTCTTGGCACGGATAGTCCGGAAATGAAACCTTTGGCCCCAAATCCCCTCATTAGATCGTCTTGTGTATACTCGTAGTGTTGTTTCCCCTGCTCATGTCCCCTGTTCATCGCAGAGGCGAGAGTTTCTAGCGAAATATCCAGGTTATTACCAGTTTTTACACGTTCGGGCTAGAAATCTACCTTACCCATGTTTACCATCGTATCTGCTTGAAATTTACAATATCATACTGATCCACACATGTGACTGAGGCAAACAATGAAAAGCGAGGCAAGACATACAATTTAGACTTCCAAGGTTGAAATTAGGTTAGTGTTGATATCGCAAGCAAATTCTCGAAGAGCTATTGAGAAATTTTTGCGCAAAGGTGATGGTCCAATGAGTATATCTGGAAGACTCCGAGGGCTTGACATCAGGTATATTCGTCGAAATCAACCTTGGAAGGACTATATTTCCATGAATCACGAATATCATACTGTACCTTCAGGGTGACCAGTTGTATTTCTTGCTTTTTCCACAGAACAAGAAACAAGTCGCGAGCTAAAGAACCAACCAGTAATGCGACCGAAGGGATTCCACTATTAGCCCCTCTTAGTGTGTATGTACATGCAGGGACCTTTCGCTTCTTCCTTCCGTATTGTTGGCATGCCAAGGCATCAAGGGCCACTCGCGGTGGCGAGGCAGGGCGGCCCCACCCCTTGTGATCCTGGCAACCCCTCAACCGTCGGCTTGCTCCAACCCAATTCGCTTACCCACCTGCGCATCAATCTCTCAAGACTTACTGCGGGAGTACTATCCCCATGGTCCATCCCAGCATGGCTCCCCATCTTCCTCAAGAGATATTATGTTTGATTGCAGAGCACCTGCAGGAACTAAAGGCCTCTCTGGTTCCTTGTACTCGAGTATGCCGTCAATGGCAAGTCGGTTTCGAGCCCCTCGTTTACGCTGAACCGATCAACGTTTTCAGTGCCGATGGTGTCAGCAAGGAAGGTTGTGGAAGGGCAATGCCATTGAGTCACTTTCAGAAAGTGACCTCTGGCAATGGAGTGGCACGACGAGGTCTGATCCGTCATTTGAGCTACCACATTGTTGTGCCTATTCACCTTGCGGATTGGCAAACCCGCAAGCAAAAAGGATATAACCTGGAGAACAGTGTACGTCAGAATAATGATATTGCGTTTCAGTCGGCAATAGTCGATCTCTTCAATACTCTCACACTGTGGGATCCCGATTCGAGGCTTTCACTTGACTTGGCGTTGTTGGGTCGCGAAGAGGGAAAGGAGCCTCGCACAACTGATTTCCCCATTGCGGGTGACTATTGCTATGATTATACAAAGGGAAGAACTAGGTCAGTGACTGTCTATCGGGCACGCTTTCCATACGACGGGCTCTCCCTTCTTCCGGCTGTCGCGTGTATCGATCGTCTTTTCTTTCATTACGATTACCCTTGTCATCAAATATGGGCCGGATCCGCCATGGAAATTGCTCGGCGCTGTACAAGCCTTACAGAGATCATACTGGACCTAAATGAATATATTCGCCCAGATCACATTGAATATATTCAAGCAAGGCGTCAAGGTAAGAGAATACCTACATGAAATGCGCAGCGAAATATCCGAGAGCCGAAACGCTGACACTTCGATAGCTGTGGCCGACGGTCTTTTGACCATGCCACATAGCCTGAAGATTTTTAATTTCCGTAACCAGGATGAGAGCCCATGGAAAGAAATGATGTCTGGCTTGAATGTTCTACTTTCGGATAACGATTTCCTTTCTCAGAACATTCTAAATCTGAGTCTATCGCTCAGAGAATTAAAAACGCGCAACCTTTCGCTCACACCAGATTTCATGTTCCCTTTGGATACAGAAGGCCATCCCTTACCGACTTCCCGATCTCTCTACTGGCCTTCATTAGAAGTGGTAGAGCTAAATCATGTACCTCCAAGACTTCCATCAGGTATGTTCATCAACTCGCCATCAGCTGTTTAACCGTGCCCTTCGTTTGAAAAATAGTCTTCGGCCAGGCAAGAGAAGTCGCATTCCTCATCTTATTAACAGTCTAATTATGTAGGCGAGTGGGTTGCTCATCCAACACCTGAGGACCAACTCAGAATCGATGAAGTTGAAGACTGGGAGTTCATCATATGTGACCTTGAGGAAGGCTTCATTGAGCGGCCTATTTTCGACCGCGAACATTTCCACCGAACTCTCATTTCCCTCGGCCATGCAGCTCGCCATATGCCATGTTTGAGGTACATGAAATATCGTCTCGGTCATACCACTCATTTTGAATTTGAATTTGAACTCGATAGCTCGTCGGGGGAGGCGGAGTGGTTGCTTGATTCTCCTTTTCAACCGGATCAACGGGTAGCGGATGTGTGGAAATTTCCACTAGAGGACGAAGATGTGAAGTTACCTCCAATGTCAATCACTATTGCTGACTGGAGTCAACATGTGGCCGGATCTCAGGGGAACGCGAAGGAATGATGTGGTGAGGAAAGGCAGATGAGTGCTGTAACACTTAATTTGGCACGGTCCAGTGGGTGAAACGTGGAATCGGAATATCTTCCTACATTAAATGCCACCTTAGTTTTGCGATAAACTAGTCAAATTAACTGACATTGCTTTGCCTTCACAAATGCTCAAACTATACTACAATCTGGTTTAGTTATTCAAAGGCAAACTTCGCTTGGGAATTCAGAGTCTCCGGTCTGACGGATGGCAGGTAAGGCTAGCGTGGAGAACACCACGAAAGGCGTAAGTGGCTGATAACCCTGGCAATGGCGACCGGAACGTGAACATCTATTTCATTCATGATTGATTCAACGCGGATCTCCTTGGTCTTCGCATTTGAAATTTACCTAGCACACACTGGTTTCTCTTCGTCGCATTTAAGTCGTCGAGCCCTAAAATTCATGAGCAATCTTTCTATTCATCACACGGTCAGCACGCCCTCCAAATTTGAACTGACTTGCAGGTGATGCAACCTGTGCGTACTCTGCCACACATACGCGCTTAACTTTGAAAACAGGTTGGTCTTTGGTTTGAGCCATTTGAGTCTTTTAAAAGAGCTAGGAAGTAGAAGGTCTTTAGCAAAGAGCTGGGATGCGAGGTGAGACGAGATCTCCAATTCCATTTGACGATAAAGAGGCGACTTGGAGGCGATTGGCTCAATTTGTGTTTGGTCTGCATGCAGCCTTATACATTAAATGGTATTTCATCCCGATGCTCTCTTCTAAGTTAACAAAGAATCGCTCACAGCATCGGGCGAGTTTCAGGATAGGGGAAACTGCGTTGCCGTTCAAATGTTTCAAGTTTTCGGAGACTTGCTGGTTCGCGGGCGGTGGGCTCGAAGCTCATTCTTTTTTCCCCCATAGACCCCGCAAAACGCTAAATTGCGTACGGAACCGCGAACTTGCGATTTCAAACCGCGAAACTTGTCCAATTGGGAGTCTTGCTGCTCGAGCAAGTGGGTGTAATTGTGTTCGTGTCGATCATCACAGAGGGAACAGTATTATGTTTGGGTTCAAAAATTGTTGTATTCCATAGGTCAACCGGAGAACGCCAAGCGAAGAGAAGATAGCGAGTCTATTTGTATGGGCAGAGAAAGGGATGGAGATTGATAGCGGAGATTGGTTGATGTTGGACCTCGTCCCTTGTCGCATAGTCTTGTCCACGGTGTCTACATCTACGGAGAGAAGGATCACATGATCTAAATTCGACAGGGACCGGCCTGATGAATGGTCATTGCTAAATCATACAGTGGAGGATGTTCCCTGACGCCCAAAAATCCGCCCTGCTCTAATCAGCCGCTCTAATGTCCACCAATCGTGACGTGTCGCCCCAGCTGAACAGATTGAACGGCTCAGTCTGTATCAATGTCCGATCCTGGTTCTTCTTTGGGGTAATAACTGCGTTCGGTAGCAAGACGATGAACATCTTCTGCATGTCTGCGAAGATGCATTTCATGCAGGAGGTCCTCACTACACATATGACATCTCCGATCCTCCAAGTGCTTTCCTCGAAAGTGTCGCAAAGTTGATTTGTATTCGCCATATTTGTGTGTTCGACGATGAACAGACAGCCGGGTATCGCCGTAACACTGAAAACATCGTCGAGGTTTTTTGGCCTTTCGGATATAGTTCCCCGCCTTCTCCAGAAGTAATTCATCCTTCGATATTCCAGGAGTAATGACAGGTGTCTTTGTTGTTTTATTATCCATTGCTTCGTGCTCTTCGTCGGGCTCATCGCTTGGAGCCGGCCGTTTACGTCGTCCACGCAGTGGCCCGCCTTTAAGGTGACAGCAATATTGCGAGATGGCAGCGACTGCAGCATTTCGTCTTTGCCACTCTGCCTCCAATGAATGGGAAGTTGGCCAGGTCAACAACTTTTCTAGAAGATCAATTTGCTCTGGCAGCATACTGTCTGTTCGCAAAATGTTAATTTCGCTTCCTCGTTATAGATAGCCGCTCCGGAGAGCTGTCGCTCAATATCTATATTCGCGTGTTTTCGATCAAACTCTTTTCGAACTTTCTTTCTCAACGCTCTCTCCAGCAGGCCAAATATGTTGAGCTTTTCACGTGCGAATTTGTCGCGTCGCAGTTGCATCTGCTCACTCGGATCATAGATACAAACTTCAGCTTGCTCATCCAATCGCCGGACCGCTTCGACATACTCTGGATGTTCACGGATCGACGCTCGCTGCCCAGGAGTTAGGTGCCGAGGCCGTCTGGTATCAATCAACCTGCTTATGCGAGTGACTACACGCATGAGGGATTCGTTGGATGGACGGCCGTTTATCATATTTTGCATGTCCGTGTCCACATGTCGCGGAAGGTAATGGTTGAGGAATGTGCGAGAATCTGCGTGCTTCATGATCAAACTCTGCTGAGCTTCGCTGACCGCATCACTATTGTTCAACATCTTTCCGCCTCCATAGCGCATACGGTGCGCAAACATCGACTGAAGCCAGCCATCAATCTCCCCGAGATTCTTCAGTCGAGCAGACATTGTACCACCGAGCATAGGTTGATCCCAAAGGAGAGCCGGGTGCCCGTTGACCACTTCAGTTTTGCAAAAGATATAATATTCCTCCACCTCGGGTTTTAAGGGGAGTGGCATCTGCTGGCGACCGCCTTCAACAAATAGACTTCGGAGTTTTTCCATGGAGGAGAGGGCCGGGGATTCAAAAGCCTGCAGCGAGAAAAGTATACCAAAGATGAAAATGTGAGGGCTGAAGATAAGCGACGGATCGTCAATAATTTCGGGGAACGGAAAAGTGTTACTTAGAAAAATCAATCATCAGGCCCTTTAGCATCAAGGGCTTCCACGCTAATGATGTTCAGATCTGCCTTGGTAACCGGTTTAAGTCGATCAAATGGAGCCTACCTCCCGGAATCTACCCACCGTGAGTTGACTTCCCATCAACACTACGCCCATCAAGTGTGGAAGCCACAGTCTGTGTGATAGAACCTAACATCTCTTGATTTTCAACGTCAGCGGTCCGCCGCCCCCGGATATTATAGGTCCCCCTCCGGGCCCCGCCTGCCTGTCTACTCGGTCAAGCAATAGCAATCGATCCTGACCACCTTGATCTTGCGATCTTTCAGCACTAAGGCCTTGACTGAGAATTCTCCGCACATTTGATTAAATGGGTGACAAATCTTGGAAGTTGCGTGCTAGGGTTATGACTCCCATGCTGACTCCATGTAATTCCTTCCCGCGTTGTTCTTCTTTTGGTGTTGACCTGCGCCATGCGGATTTTCTAGGGAGTTGTGCCTCGAGTAATGTAATCCACCAGTTCAGTCTAACGTTATACCAAAATTCTTTTTAGTATTTGAACATTGACGACCCATCTGAGATTCACTGTGATATTGGTGGGCCCGGAACCTTCATTCTGATGTCGGGCAAATTTTCTGCTATCTCAAACACGTTGCTAATCCACACTCTCGCTGTTAATGTACTATGTAAGTCGTCTTCATTCCAGACATGTCAGGTGAGTGCTAGGGATGGCAGTGGATGTAAATAGAAATGCTGTACGACGTGAATATTACCTTTACTCAACTATCAGTTACCAAGGTGTGTTTGGAGTTGAAAATTCCACACCCATATGGCTGGAAGTATGGGTCACTTCCCCTCTCCTATGGCGGGCAAGAGTATAGGTGAATAAGGGTGGCCACAGACTTGTATGTCTGTTCTCTTAATGCGCTGTATTCCTATCTTTTGATAAAATGATTTATTAGACTTACACCGTCATGCATGAAGGCGGTCTGTGTATCACTCAAGGGCATGCTATGCTGATAAAATCTCTTCTTCCCCTCCTGAGCGCTTGGCGCTGTTCATATCTCATGAAGAACAAAAAAAGGCTACGTGACCTGCTACCCTGTGGAAAATATCCCACAGTCCCTCGTATGGAGACCGATATATCCGAAGAAGAGACAGGCCAAATCCACAAGGATGGTATTGGCGATGAAACGGACCCCGGTCAAGTCGTGGGAGATGTGACTGCTAGCATACAAATGTTGGTAGTTTGACCTCAAAGCTGGCCTATTTCAACCTAAATGCTGCAGCTTCTTCCAATCTGCTCAGTTTTCGGATCTTGTTATCAAAACTGAAGAGCAAGAGTTCAAGGTGCACAGATTAATTGTCTGTGGACAGTCCGCATATTTTGCACGATTATACAAGGCAAATTGGAAGGTAAGAGCCTGCTGACGAGGTTTCATTCAGGATTCTAACATTTACGTCAGGAAACGACTGGCAATATGATCCATTTGAAGAACGATGATCCTCGGTATTGAAGGCATCAGAGGAATTTTCGCTGACAGCTAGCTTCATCGTATGACTTACTCACCGCGAGATCACACAATGTACATTATGTAGCCCGGACCATGTAGCCCGAACCATGGGGGAAATCGATAGCATTGCAATGAAGACAAATTCTCGATTCTGACTTGTCCTAATGTAGAGATAGATCTTGTAAGCTCCATCACTGAAATTCCAATTTAAGGAGGACACTACGTGGAAATCCTTAAATCGCACGAGAAGAACGATCATACATACAATATTGTCTTATCGAATGGAGACAATTAGATCACAGGCGACCCATCAGTATTAGAAGCATTTGTTCACGGCGGTGTCTCCTTGTAATTCACGGATATTTAGATGCTTGTTGACGTGTGGACCGTATGGATGGTGTTGACGGTGTTGACGGTGTTGATGGTGAGGACGGTAGGACGGTGTTGATGGTGTTGACGGTGTTGACGGTGAGGATGGTGAGGACGGTGAGGATAGTGAGGATGGTGTTGACGCTGCGTTGATAAACGGAAGTGGTGAAACGTTGAAACTGTGAATCACCAGGCGGTGAACCAGGCTCATCCCTGGCGCCGCAAATAAGACCCCACCTGCACCTAACATTGTATCCCACACGCATAATTCAACGGTGACGGTCAATTCGCTGATTGATGATGGTTGCAAACGATCCTCCAACGAGGCATTTTGTTCACCGCAGCAGCTGTTGACTGAACGACCGCACTGGCAACATCAAAAGTACATTTCTGTGCTGCGACTATTAGGCGGTAGACTGGAATATTTGGCAGCTCACTTCGCAAATAAACATAGGTGATACCAATTGCGGCTTTGCCAATTAGAACCGATTGGTGTTAATTTGCGGTCGCGATTTCTGACATTAGGAACCACAACAGACATTTTACCAGATCCGATGGGATCCGTTACATTTTTGGACGGCGACTTGTTTGATCTTATTTCTTGAATTTTGAATGGCTCGCATGTTTCTTTGCCGTGTGTTGGGAATAGTGTATGCAGATTCAAGGGTATATAATACTATAATGCTTTCTAGACCTGATTGTACAAAATATATATCTTGTCCTTTTGATTCGAACGTATATTATAGCCAAGACCAACACGTAGAAATGGCCACAGGCGCACAGCTATTTAGCAAGACTGCGTGCTTTAAAAAGCCTTTGCCTTTTGAACAACTTTCCTTGGCCTGAATAATCCCAATTGAGACCGAAGAAGAATAAAAACCTATCCGGAACTTATGAGATCGTCGGGTGGTCGATCCTTACCGAAACAACTTCAACTTAGCAATAAGGCATTTATTAACGAATGCATTTTTTGGCCTAGTGGTTACCTTCTCCACTGGGGTCGCGCGTTCGAATCCTCCGCGCGTCGTCATTTCCGAGCGATATTTAGATTTTTTATGTTCGATCAGTTCTCTCTCATGGGTCTGGCTATTCGGTGTTTAATTCAGCCTTCACTTCCGTGTCGTCTTATTTATTGCTCAAATATGATAGCAAAAACCAGGTTCGCCTAAGTAGAAACTCGTGTCGCGTCGCCGTGTTTCCGCACTTCCGCCGATCACCTCTAGCGTCCGTTATTGTTCATACCCCCTGCTCTCAGCCGTTCGCTCCTGGAGGCAAACCCAGTTCAAATATCGGGCAAGCCTATGTTAGCCTCTCTGACCGGCAAGCCATCGGACGTTAACTATCCGCGGAAACAAGGGTCGTATATAGAGCTAGTTGGATTAAGGCTAGCCACGTAGCGATTGCGGCCTCCTTGTCTTCCATGGGTGGCATAGTGGGATTTGAGGTTATCGCGACGCGTGAAGCTGCGCTGGCACTCCGGAACCTAGCAGATATATGACTCCTTAGCTAAGTGGCCGGATAAATGACGCTGTAGGCCTTTGAAATATCGAAAGCGACTGCTGCACTTCGTAACGCTGCATTTGAATTGCCGCCGCGGAAGCTGCCATGGTATGCTGTTGAGGGTGTGGCTGGAGTGTCCTTGGTTGCCACAGACGAGGCATGTGAATTCTTTAAAGTCTTGCCAGGACGTCGTCCTCTAACCACCGTCGGGCGGTTTGTCGCTCATATTTGGCTTGATCACGCTGTATGGCTCGATAGTGGGATTCCTCGTGAAAACCTCGACCTCCGACTCGAGGACGGACCCATCTTTGAACTAGTCTATATTATGAAGTTGATCTTGCTGTGTAGGAGAAGATATGACAAAAAACCTATCGGGCAAGGTAGTGCTTTGGAAATCCAAGTCTAAAGGGACTTGGCTGTAATCGGCTTGGAGGCTAGGCTATTGATAGGAGCCTTGCGGAGGATAGAAAATGTTCCACTCTGTATGGCTTGTTTAGCGAGTCATTGAATAACCACGAGGAGGCTATAGAACTTACCGCTGTGGTATTTTCCACCATCCTCCTCCGCTGATGGGGTTGCTGTCTTATCCTGTGAATGCATACGGCTGATGGGCAGATTCAACAATCTCTGCGGACACGAACATCAGGGCCCGAATAGGGAGATATAGGTGAAAGGTAAGTCCGCAAGATAAGGTACTGGACATAGCTAGGATGGGGTAGCAACTGGCGAGTGCTATACTGTACGGGACGTGCAGATGTTGTAAGTAGAACCAGTTTCCTAAATCCTCGAACTGTGTACAGAATCTGATTCAACTGGCCTTATTCATACGTAGTTGCGTGGGCATGAGCGGGGAAGGTGATCATTTCGCCAGGGAATTAATCCGTTGATTCACACTATCAACGTTTGACCACCCTAATAATACGCTTAATTGTATGTATAGTTATTATTTTGGAACAATTTCTATTTCTGTTCACTGAAACGTACATCGAAAAAGATATAACTTCTCGTGTAGCGTCGCGAAGCAGCAAAGGCATCTTCCACGATTACGCTCGACTCAATATGGACGCTTCTCATGCCCGACCTGTCAAAGACTATGCGGGGGATCAGCTCCTAAATGACCATCCTCCGATTGGCAAAACTGCCCCCGAGAATCAAGACAACCCGTAGACTACGGTCGATCCACCCTCTGACCTACCTGCTGTGAGTAGGGAAAGCACGACTATTTTGATGATTGAGCTGACCACCGTTGGACAGCCCGAGGATCCACAGAGACCTCCCTTGATGGATTAGCCGTTTGAGCCTGCTATGGAAGCTCTCGCGCGGCTCGAACGCGAAGACCCTAAACTTGCGTTCTAAGCCGCGAGAATCGTCGGACTGTATCGGCGCTTGTGGGAGTCGTGCACATCGAAGTATATAGAGGGAAGTAAGTTGGCCAAAGCGAATCACGGTCTACGAGAGACTCACTAATATATGACCGACGAGAGGAACAAAATGCAGTCGCAT